CGTTCTAGTTAGTATATATTTCAGTGACTTGCCTGGAGAACCAGGTATACGTCCCGCTGATGAGAAACTCCAAATTTTTTGGCATTACTTCTTTAACAGATTCTGAAACCGCTAATTGAATGGAATGGCAAACACATCGTATGAGAATTAAATGAGGAATGTCAGCCTTAAGTCTTTGGTACACTCCTGTATTGACTCCTACAAAATGAAATATTCATATGAAATTCACAATTTTTATACCGTGTTAAGTATTCTCAAAACAGTGAAGCCTAAAAAACACTCACCTGTCATGACCGCTGCGTTATCAGTCCCAAGTCCTCTCATATTCTTTAAATTCAAATCAAACTTTTGAATTACTTCTTTGACAGCTTTAGTTATAGAGGCTGCATCGCCTCTTTCCAATTTATGGAGTGTGAGAAAGGTTGATACATCTCTACCTTTTGTTTTAGAGAAATAAATAATACTCACTCCAAGTTGCTTTGAGACACTTATATCTGTTGATTCATCTATTAAGAGACTATAAGGACTATCACCAATATCTTCCCTCAAATCTGATATAAAGTGTGGCGCAATTATATTTTTTATTATGCCGGTGCACTTAGTGCGGCCAAGCTGGATCTGTTCAACACCTTTGGCAGTGTTAAAAATTTTCTTGTTAAGTTGACAGAGATGATCTATGTTACGTAAAGCACAATGATTTATTATAAATAATGCCATTCCAACTTCAGCAGCAGCAGTTTCTTTACCCAGCTTGGGTGCAGCTTTAAAAGGAAGTTGTGTTTGCCGTGCTGAAGAAAAGGGCTCAGCAGCATTGATATGTTTTTTAGTCTTGGTATGCTCAATGAGCAGATTATAATGCGCCTTCAAAATACACTTGCAAAATTTGCAGTGTACTGAATTAATATCTGTTGGAATGGGTTGGATCCAATCTTTTAAGTTGTCGTCCGATTTCCATTCGACTCGGTACTTTTGCGTGTACGGTTTTTTTTTGACATTGACGTTGAGGTTATTACTCTTTCTCTTTATAGGAGAAGAAACCAAAATTTAATCTATTTACCGTATTTAACAGATAATTGTTTTTCGAATACTATAATACTTACAATTAATAAGAAAATAAAATTACGTACCGGCTCAACACAAAAATTAAACCTGTTTCTCATCCAGCGCGAAATATTGCGTCATCAAGCCGAATGTGACCTCTTGTAGAAAGAAATACTAAGAGGACAGAAAAGGAGAGCACTCTCGCCCCCCTTACCGCAAAATTTAACAGCCCCCTTGCCCGTTCTCCTACTTCGTGCTCGGTCCATAGATTCTAAAGCCTATCACACAATAGGAAAGCACAGGCAATAGGAACAGGGAATAGAATTTCTGACGCGTTGGATTGGTTGGAAGAAAATTTCCGACGAATCCAACGCGTCAAAAATTCTATTCTCTATTCTTATTGCCTGTTGCTTGGCATTGTGTGGTAGGCTTTAGGTCCATGGTCCACAAGCTACCAGATTTAGTAGGAAGCCTACTGAGTTGGTGACACTGATACTACAATTCCTACTACCCTACTGACACCTAAAATTTCCTACGGCCGGTTTCCGAAAACTACTAGATTTAGTAGGAAACCTGCTGAGTTGGCATCACTGCCCCGGAGTCACGCCCCGCTGTGCCTACCCACCGCGTGACTCGAAGTCACTTTCACTCACCCATAAGGCACACGAACGGGGCCTCCTACTCCTGCCCGCCCACCCGGTGACCCGCGCCGCGCACGGTTGCGCCACCAGGGTCGGGCCCCGCCTCCCCGCCGAAACGGGACCACGT